TTCCTTGCACCTCTCCTGGACCCCCTAAGCAGGCACTGTCCCCCTTTCCTTGCCTGCACCCCCTTGCACCAGTATCCTGCTGTGTTGGGTTTGCACCCCCCCAGCATCCCCCCAGCCCTCTAACCACAGGCTAACCCTGACTAATGTGTGCCCCTGCCCTATACACCTTTCTTCTCCCCATAACCCCCTTCCCCACTTTGTTGCCCCCCTTTCCTCCCTGCTAGCCCCCCATGCCCCAGCTAGCCTTTCTCTGGATCTGGCCCCTTGTCCCATGCCTGGGCATCACAGCTTGCCTGGCACTGTGTTTGGGGCAGGAACGTGCGCTTTGAGGGGAGAATGAAAGGACGGCATGGGGGGTACAGCCCATCCTGTCCTCATACCCATGTTGGGGAGACTTCTCCCATGGTGGCAGCGTCCCAGGACTTGCACCGGGGAGACCTTTGCCCCATCCTGCTTCGGTTTCTGTGACGACCGAGCTTGCTGGCGGACTTTGGAGGGGCTGGTGGGTGATTAACCATCTCATCACTCTTCCCGCAGAGCTTTGCAGCCCCGGTCCCTGACATGGCACCCGGAAAGTCTGGGAAGAACACAGGGGCCTCAGAGAACCCCTCGGTTACGCTTTTCCGGGAGTACCTGAAGATTGACACCGTCCACCCCAAACCCGACTATGGTGAGGATAGGGGGGACAGGACGGGGTGCCATGCGGGGATCTGGCAATGTGGCTTTGCCATGCCGGTCTTTGGACCCGGGTGCCTGAGTCCTTGGCTGGGGCTGTTTTGATTGTGGTGTTAAGGAGCAGACACTGTTGTGCCTTATCTCTGCCGGTGCCTTTGGTTGGGGCAGGGACATCTTGAGTGCAGCTGCTGTTTGCTTCCTCCAGCCCTGTGCCCCAGGGCCCCCCCTTTCCATGCTGCCCTGGCTCTGGGACGGATGTTTGTGGTAACCCCGTGTAGATCTCCTTCTGTTAATGTTTCCATCCTCCCACTAAAGTACATTGAAGTTTTTTTATTAGTGAGGACCTCCCAAAACTCCTGCGGAGGACCATCTCCCCTGAACTTGCCTCCGATTTTTATTCATGTTTTCCTAGTCCTCACCCCAAAGGGACTGTGACAAGCTGCTGCTGTCTCTGCTCCTGGCCACTTCTTGTGCCCAGGACCTCCATCACCTGCCCTCTCTGGTCACCTCTTTCCTGGGCCTGAGAGCCTCAGAGAACCTTGGAGTCCCTGGGGGGTTGTGGCGAGAGGGGAGGGAGATCCTGACCTAACTCTAGGCATTCTCGCTCCTCTCCAGATGCAGCCATCCGGTTTCTGGAGCATGTCGGCACCGACCTGGGCTTGGCCTGCCAGAAAGTGGAGGTGAGTGAGGCGAGGAGCAACCCCTGGTCCACCAGTCTGTCCATCCATCCATATATCTGCACCTGGGTCCTTAGTGACTGGGCTGTTCCCCTGCCTGCTGCCTCGGAGATGGGCAGGAGTGAATCTCCTCTGCCTGTAATCCTCTGCTGACCTGAGCCGTTCCTTAAGCCTATATTCGGGCTGGTCCCTGCTGACCTTTGCGGCCGCCTGTGCTATGATTAGCTGGGGACCTGGCAGGGTCACGTTGGCTGGGGACGTCCCTCCTGCTGGGCACCGGCTGTGCCAGGGGACTCCCAGGCACTGGGGGAAGACGCAGGGTTTGTCTCCCCATGCTGAGGCTCCGTCTGGCTGCTCCTGCTGCCTGCTGCCTGCTGCCTGCTGCCTGCCCCTGTCCTCTCCCAGCAGAGAAAGGGGTGACCTGCCAGGTGGCATCAAGAAACGTCTCCCAGGCTGATGCTTTTCAGCTCCAGCCTGCTGGTCCCAGCTCCTCTGTCCCCAGCCGGCACCCCGGTGACATCCTGCCCTCGCCCTACAGGTGTGCCAGGGCCGTGTGGTGCTGATCCTGACCTGGCAGGGCACGAACCCCCGCCTGCGCTCCATCCTCCTCAACTCCCACACCGACGTCGTGCCCGTCTTTGAGGTGCCAGGACAGGGCGAGGGGTGGGATGGGCAT